GTGTGTGTGTGTGTGTGTGTGTGTGTGTGTGTGTGTGTGTGTGTGTATTAGATAATGAAATGCATACATGCAAGGAAAAGGAAACATGCTTAGAATATATATGAATGTTACCTAAGCAAGATTGAAATGAAATACGATATATGAAGTGAATATTGTTACATTTGTAATTAATTATTATAAAATTTGAGAAAGTTGCTAATCTTTTTTAGCTTATTATTCATTTTGCTACATATAAATACATATAAATACGTATAAGATTATAAAATTATAAATTTTCAAATGCAACATGAATCTTTACAAATAAATTGACGTAATTATAATAATAGATAATAATAGATTGGTTTAATTATAATAACAGATAAATTTTGATGAAACGTGTATATTATTCTCTATATACAATGTTCGTTAATTAATAAGTGTTATCTATAAAGTATAGTAAAATGTTGCTGAATGCATGTAGTACAATTTCATTCATCCCTACAATTATAATAATGCACAATGACGAGTAACAATACAATTTTATTATTGATCATTTCGTTTTATTATTCATAAATTCGATTGATAGCAATATATTAGATTTTTATAGATTTTTATTTTTACGTTTATTTGTAATTGTTTTGATATAAATTCGATAAAAAAATAATAACAAAACCGTAATATATTTTCTATTTAATTGAATAGTCATTGTGAATAGAAATAAATTAAAAAATAACTACACATATGAAGCGATATTCTTTAATTATACATCGTGTAATTATTAATGAAATTATTTTGCGTAATGTATAAATATGTTTATTGTAATTTTCAATTTTTATTATTTTACATATACATTTATACATATATTACATTTTACATATATATTTTTGTACACATTTATTACATTTATACACATATTTATAATACATGTATTTTATATATGTCTTTCTATACAATATTAGTTTTTTAACAAAAATAGTTTGTTTTAAGGATAAGAGTACATAGGAAATAATATAAAATTATTAATATAAAATTATTTCAATTATAAAAATATTTAATTCTAAATTAAGTACACGAAAATGTATTCAGAAGTGTTAGTTATGTTACAGATCATTCGTAATTAAGTCTATTTTTATAACTCCTTAGTATCGATTCTTTCATTATAATAGAAACGATGCGTTGTTTCCAACCTGTTCCAGTTCAGTATGATGTCTATTTTACGAAATTATATCGATTTTTGAAATTGTAATATTTATTACCTGTTAGGATTTGAAGAACTTTATCGTTAATTTATTTTCTTAATATTTCAAATAAATTTCATGATTATATTTCAAAAATTAAATCAATTAAAAATCTTAGCTTAAAAATTTGAAAGGCATTAATTCTATATTTTGATATGTATTTCTTATAGTATATATCAAATAAATGGTAATATCATGTTATGTTGCATAAATAAATATTCATTTATTCATTCGTTCATTGTGGTTTTTTTTTTCGGTCCAGGGTTCGAGCCTCTGTTCGGGCGAAAAAAAAAAAAAAAGAAAAACAATTGTCCTTTGGGACAACAGTACGGGGGAGCTCTGTGTGCATAAAAAGGTCCCGGAGCTCATTTTCTTAGAACGTTATTCACTTGATATACAAAAATCTAATTGTCTTTGGTAATTTAATGTATATTTCATATTATAATAAAATTATATAATTATGTAATAATTATATGACGTACTGTAATATCTTTTATTTGTTTCAATAACTGTGTAATAATTATTATTACGATGATAATGAGATATTAATTCAACATCGTAACTTTTGAATTGGATAAGTCTGAATGATTTACGATTCACGTTTGTTTTTGTTGTAATATTATAATGTCGGGTGTTTAATTAGCAGTTTAAATTACTGATATTGAAGACTTGCTACCTCAAATTTAAATACACATACATGTACATTATATTTTAGCATACAAAATCATTATAGTATATGTATACATATACGTATAATGTGTGTACGTGTGCGTGCGTGCGTGCGTGTGTGTGTGTGTGTGTGTGTGTGTGTGTTTAGATATGCATGTGTATATATCTATAATTTAATAAGTTCTTATATAGAAGTTAATACAATGATAGTAGAAAAAATATATAAAATATATAAAATATATAAAATATATAAAAAAGATTTGCGGTTGGTAACCTTTGAAGTTTCGTAACCCTGGTTGAGAATATTACGACTGCGCATGCGTTTGAACACAGCCACGAGATAACTGTCTAAAAGTAGTGAATCGTTGCAATGTTGTTAGCCGGTTTGTGCGCCTTTTTTTAACGTTAGTGAAGTGAGGAAAATACAACGTAGTTATATAGTTTTGTATTTTGTCAATTGGCGAAAAAGATTGTTTCAGTTCTAAGTAAACTATGGTCAACACTATGAAATTATCTCTTGGTTCACGATGTGTCAAATATCTGATGTTCATCTTCAATCTACTCTTTGTTGTGAGTAATTTTTTTGTTTTTTTGTTTCCATTATAACAATTTTTAGGTACTCGAATAAATCACTATTCGAAAGTGTTCAAGATTTATTCGTCATGATAAAAGTTTTGTTTTAAACGCCTTTCGATCGTGGAATTATATTAAAAGTGCATGTACATATCTCGAAAAGTTATAATTAGATGATTACGTATGATTTTATTCTCTTTTTTGTTTTACAACTAATCAGAATTTTGCCAGTAATCTAACATATTGTTCTTCTCTTGTGATTTAATTTAATTAATATCATGAAAGATTTTTGTTAATTTCACACTAATTCAAGTATAACCTAAATATCAATATAAATATTGATATATATATAGATCCCTGTGGATGATATTAAAATAATTTAACATCATAAAATACATGCAATATACATACAATAAATTTCTATTAATTTTTAAGTGTTCAAATGTTTAAATATTTTAAAGATAATAAACTAATATTAGTAGAAAACTGATTGCTAGATGTGTCATAGTGCGATGATTTGTTTTTCGTATATGATTACACATTTGCGTTTTTTTTTTGTGATGAATCATAAATTCCAGATAAACGATCGAAAACAAGTGAACGTAGATACGTATGGATAAACTGCAGACAAATAAATATATATAGTTCATATATATATTACACATGCATATATTTTTTATTTTTACTTTCTAATAATTTTGTTACATTGTGATATAATTAAAAATATCTAATATAATGTGAATATATAAACGTAGAATATATAACAATATATAAATGTAGAATATATACAGACAGAACTTTTTTCTTATTGTATAAGAAAGATTTATAATATTTGTTTATAATAATTATCGTAAACGAAAAACAAATTATGTATAAAATTATTAATTTTCATGTTAATTAATAACGAAGCAAATGTAAAATTTATTATTTTATTTACAAAATTTATGTAGATACTGCGATGAAGCAATATATGGTAACGATCTGTAAACTCTTTAAATGTATGCATTTAAAAATCTTGAAAATTTTTTTATACTAATAGAAAAAAAAAAGTCGCTGCGGACAGGATTCGAACCTGCGCGGGTAGTACCCAATGGATTTCAAGTCCATCTCCTTAACCGCTCGGACACCGCAGCTATTAAAATTTTGGTTTATTTTATATGAATGTCTAGTTCATACATAATTGAAATAATGCAAATATTATTCTTTCAGTTATATAATAAGAATAATGCTCATTTCTATTAAACAAAATGAAATTTGTAATTGAAATATTTGACATTGCTATTTATACTTGCTGCATGAATGGTTTTCGATATAAATGAAGTAATTCAAGAGTGCATAATACTTCAAAAATAATTTTCAATTGTACCGTGTATCATTCAGCGTATTAATATAGATATAACATTACATTTTATATAGGATGTATATACTTATGCGATATATCACTATATTTACGTATAACATTATTAATAGTTTATGTAGCATAGTATTATTTATAATAACAGAGCTGGTTGGCAAATTTTTTTAAAATCATTATTTACATTGTGCTTTTTGCTTTGTTTATTTTAAAGTTTGATTTTCTCATTTCTAACAAAATAGTATTTAAATTTGTTTCAATTTAAATAACATTCTTTTTATAAATCGTGAAGGAAAGAATTTTTTTAACTGCATGTATTTAAGAGAATTTTACAAACAATTGTTCGCATTCTTTCAAATCACGGCTTCGTATTAACCTCATTTCTGTTGTCAGCGAGTAATTGGATATAAAGACCTTTTAATTTAATTTTCTATTGATTAAATTTGCAATGTAAACAAAGTTAAAGTGTTACTTCGTGATACATTAGAATAAAAAAAAGTCGCAGTCGTAGAACAAAATTTTATTTAAAATGAGGACAAAAATCTAAAATAGACAGAGAATTTTATATAACTAATAAGCTTGAAATAGATAAGGTTATGTTTGCATAAATACGTATTTGAATGCATGAAATATCTAAAGATCGAAATGCACATTAGGATTTATCCCGCAACAAAATAATGAGACATGTATTCATTTTTGATCTCTATAAAGCAATATAATATGTAAAAATTGTATACATACCAATTCTTTCATTAACATCAAAAAAGATCAGCTGTTATTTATAGACTTTTTTAGATAGAAGTCATTTATGTGAAAAACAACTGCAATAACATGATAGGATAGACATAAAATATTACTTTATGATTAATAACGCGTTCACTTTTATTTCTTTTCAATGACCTCTATGTGGTTGATATTTTCCATTCTTGTTCTATTGTTTCTTTGAGCTCATTTATTAAATTATATATTGTCTTCTATATTTATGTATTTTCTGTGGTTACTTAGATTAAGTGACCTCGTGGACCATTGTAATATATTTATATCATTTATCGAGAAATAATAAACAATCTTCGTTGTACAGATTATCTTGTTGAAAAATATAATTTTCATCAGCAATTCGAGTAGCATGTTTTGTAATTTCTTAATTACTATTATTTACTTTTCTATCTATGAATAAATGAGAAATTCTCATTTTTTTTTTGATTTTTTGTTTTACAACATACAGTGACAGTTTCCTTGTCGTGTAACAATGAATATTGTTAAAAATATGAATATTGTTAAATAATGAATATTGTTAAAAATATACCGATTTGATTTACCCATTGGCGTAACAATGAATATTGTTAAATAATGAATATCGTTGAAATAATGAATATTGTTAAAAATATACCGATTTGACAAACGTCGTTTTAGCCAGATAAAAATTTTTATTCCGGTCTTTGCGTGCCAACAAGTACGCCTTATTGTAATTTCAACAGCTGTTTAATCATTTTTGAAGGTCGCATAGTGTTTCGAGGCCCGACGTGTATGCGAGATTCCGAAAGTTTCGGGAGCTTCGAAAACTTCGAGGACTCGATCTCGAATTTTCGATTTTCCTGTCGTCTTTTAATGCCAAGTTGCAAAATTTATTCATTCGCTTTATTTAAATTATTAATCATAGAATTATAAAATATGAATCTGTGGAAAGGACCGGCACTCCATGAAATGAGTTTCCGAAACTCCCGGAAATATTTTCGGAAATATTTCGACACACTCAGGAATCTTGACGTAGTTGGGAATTTGTTTTCCGATTTGATCCGATATGATCCTACTACTTATAACATTAATAACATCAAAGTAAATCTGTTTTAAATCCTTTTAGGATCCCATCCCGATCCTAGTATTCGAAATGGCGAGAATATAACCTTCAAATTGCAATCCGATTCCAAACAAAAACTCTAGTCTTGACTCGATCTAAAATGTTCGGGTATCCGTACACACATTTAAATATTTCAGACAATTGTAAATTATAATTGCTGTTTCTAAATTATTATTTTCAGATCACGGGTATAATTTTACTATCCATTGGCATTGCGATACATGGAGTTTATTACAATTATCAACACTTCTTGGATAATAAATTTTTATCAGTTCCTTCTCTGCTGATCGCAATCGGTACAATTATCTTTTTCATCGCCTTTTTCGGGTGTTGCGGCGCTGTACGCGAGAATTATTGTATGATAGTTACGGTAATTTACATTACATTTAACCAATTTTAATGCTTTTATTTAGCTTTCAAAATTTGGACTACAGTCCAGAGATTGGAACGAACAGTTTCTTAATAAATAAATATGAACTTCTATGTGTGTATGCTTTTAACTTTGTCGTAAACATATCACTAATTACTTCAGTTTTATTTTTTGATATCTTTTGTTAATATAATGAAAATTTTACAATTGTAGGAAAAGATCAAGCATTTAATAATGGAATTGTTCTTATGTATAGGAAATTCATTTAATTTCTTGATTTTAGTTTACGTCGTTGTTGGTCATCGTTTTTATTTTGGAACTCTCAGGTGGTATATCTGGATACGTTCTGAGAGCGAGAGCTTCATCAATTATTCAAAATAAAATGAGAGATTCAATGCAACAGTATCAAAATAGTTCAGAGATATCAGCCCTTTGGGACAATCTCCAGCGTGATGTAAAGTCTCTTTTTATTTTCTTTAAACTCTTATTCTCACATGAATTCTATTTTTCAAACAAGTTGGGCAATATCTAGAAATTTTTAAATTTTAATTTAACTCTTATTCATCTCTTGTGTCAAAATGTTACATTAGTTTGCAACACTCAAGTACAGGTATAAAGGTGAAAGTCTGTGGCACATATCTTTCATCATCAAGAACATATTATTTTTGATATTGATAAGAAAATGCCACCAGAGTTACAGATAATATTCTTTTTCAAAATACCTGATAGACAAATTATCATGCATTACTTTTTGATACCACAATGCATAACTTTTTTGAACATTTGTATAAGCATCTATAATTGCAACATATGAAAATTCAAAACAAATGATCATAGTGTTAGATAAAGTTAGAAAAGATAAGATCATAATATGAAATTAAACATCTATACGCAAGAGTAGAAATTTGAATTGAGTAGGAATTTATACGCAATTGAATATAGAAATTTAATCTGTCTATTGCTAATGAAAAAGTTTGCAAATTGAACTATTTCTCTTTTTATTATAATGTATCATTTGATACCAGGATAAATTCAGGATGGAAAAATGAGGGACTGATGGGTCAGTATTTGGAAATTTTATAAAAATTTAAATAACAAATATAGAATGATTCTTAAATGCCCGTATTTTGGGATTTATACAATAAAATAAGTAAAATATGCCATATGAATTTATATCCTACGAAACTTTCAAATTCTAGATGACTGGAAAAATTGTTCATGTGTTCACTTTGTGTCTTACAATTAGTAGATTCTACAGTTTATAAACCTTATTTAATGTTTATAAAAAGTATTTATTGATATAAATGAATTATCGATATTTTGATATATTCATTGATATAAATGAATTATTGATACGATTCATTGATATAATTTGAATTAAACAAAGCTCAATTTATCGAATTTTCTCATTATCAATTTATCAATCTTATCATTTTTTATGCAATTTATTTAAAACTTATTATGTATTTAGTTGAGGTAAATAATGTGATTTAATGATCAAACAAAAAAATGTCAAAATGGATGTGAGATCATTCGAGAAATGTTTGGTATTTTCGAGTGAGTGCAGAATTCAATTCTAAGGCGTGCAGTAGCATTAGGACACAAGACATTGAGCATTTTCTTCAATTATTTATAATTCGAAAACTAATTGAAAGATACGTAGAACGTAGGTACATACTACGTTTTAGTAATTTTCACGAATTTTCGAATACTTCTTGAATATTAATGAATATTCATTTCACAAATATTCGTTATTTTAGTTCCATTGTTGTGGTACAGCAAACGCGAGCGATTGGATAACTATTGGACATATGAACAAGACAAATCTTCCAGCTTCGTGCTGTGTTGGAATTACACCACCAACAAATTGCACTTCTACGTCCTTGACACTGCAAAAGATAGGTTGCTATGATACGTTTGTTTCTTTCATTAAATCACATGCTGTACAACTTGGTGGTGTTGGACTTGGCATTGCTTTCGTTCAGGTAATCAATATATGTGTGTAAATAAAGGACAAAAAATCAAGGACAATTGAATTCAAAAAAATTCATATTATTCTTAGATAGAATTAGGTAATTATTTTCAAGTAATTTATTATTTTAGTTGTTATCTGTTTCAGGCAATGGGAATCTGGTTCTCAGTTTTCTTAGCTCGATCGATTAGGAACAGTTATGAGACTGTATAACGTGCTTTCTGCTATTTGAGAATACATACAGTGATAAAATGAAAAATAGAAATTAATTCCAGAAACATTGTTATAATCATAGTTCCATTTGAGAATACATCCATAAAAAAATATTTTATATTTCCAAGGCTTACTATTATATAATCAAAGAAATAATATTATTAAATATTTCCTTTGTTACTAATGATAGATAGAGGTTTATTTGAATGAATAATTAAGCAAAGAAAAATAAAAGGAGACCGTACTGTACCTTTCTGTACAAAATCTGTACCTTTTAATTGCTGCGAATTTCTTTTTACAGAAAAATTTTTTATTTTACAAATATGTCAATAGCACGAATTTGCGATGATCTTGAATTCTAATCGAAATAAAACGGTATATCAATTTTATCTAGATCAGAAGTTTCCAAAATCTTTACTTTTTCAAGCACGCTCCAAATATTTCGATACGTAAAACTTGGAAGAGTCCTCTGACTTTAGGAGTATGCATATATTTTTTCATACAGTGTTTCCCTAAAAGAAATAACGTTTTATGGTACATCGTATTCTTATTTGGAAATTATTTATTCATTTTTCACTATCAAAAACAAAGGAGATATTTCAATATTTAAGTTTCAGCGACTTATTCTGTGTACCAGTGCATATATTTCCAGTGAAATATAGTATGAAAAT